ATCCTTTTTAACTTCTCTGATAAACCAGCCACATAAGGGATGACAGTGTTATCCCCTCTTGTTTCCGATTTCTCCCTGTTGGTGTTGGGTCTCTTCCTAGCTTTGGTGAAGGCCCACTTAGGGTATCCACAAGCCTTAAGGGAGTTCTGGATGTGTAATTTTTCTTTCTTGGCCCCTTCTACCGTTGTGGGCACTTCCTCTGCCCTGTGATTCAAAGTTCTGATGACTCCCAGTTTGTGTTGAAGTGGATGGGGTGAGTAATCAAGTGCAGCTGGTGATAAGGGAGTGAGGAACAGGTGAACGTGATTAGTGTAAATGGGCAAGAGACAGTAGGAAAGGTGAGGGAGGCCAGAGTGGCCGAACAAACCTGACAATCGCACAGGGGGCCAAAACTCAAAGCACACTTTAGGTCGCGAGCCGAACAGGATAAAAATTTATTGAACAGACTAAAACTAAACATTTTTTGAACATAAATATGAATCGAAACAAACAGGATACAATATTATTCCAAAATAAATCAACTTGAACTTAAAATCACCAACCATATTTCTGCTAAGCCTTACATTTGCTAAAACCTGCTTTTTGTCTGGACACAAGACGTCACACACTTTCATCATACCTTTTTTCAGAATCAACTTTTCTCTTGGCCATTGTTTGGGGCTAGCTTTAAATTAAAATTAGGATTGTATACATCAACAGATGCTTGATTGATCTGACGTAATTGACGCGGGAATGATCACAGGTAGCCTATCGTTCGGTAAGGCAGCTGCACTGCATTATGGGATTTGTAGTTTATGTGTTATCGGCGCTTCATATCACCGGGCCATTAAAAAAAGGTATTGTACGCCAGGCCAGATGTGGCCCGTGGGCCTTGAGTTTGACACATGCAGTTTATATCTTTTGAAGCCAGCCATTTTTAAAGAAAAACTAAACCTGATCTGACTGATGATTTCCATTCTGCACACCCTATGTGAAGAGTAATAAATTTATTGCGAACAGCGCAAAGCGAACATCTGTTCTTGTCTTTTGGTGTGAAAACCCCTTGAAAAACTAAACTAGTGGCTAATTAGATCCCAATTCACTGAAAGCTGATCATGGTCAAATTAAAAATGTTTCATAAAGCTGAAAGCCTCAATTGGCCCTGCTTTCTCAGCTCTAGAGTTGTTTGTCTAGTAAAATGTGATTATCTTTGCTTCATCACAACATTCATTTGAGGCTGAGTTTCACCAAAGTAAAGGATCTACAAACAGTGTGGATAAAGCACCATAAACAAACGCAGTAATCTCTCACAGAAGATTTTCCAAGGGAGTGCTGTGAACAACATTAATTACTGCAAATGCCTGCCATTATCAACTGCCATATACTGTATGTCCAACATATAAAGTGAGTATTGCTATGAGGACTACTTGTACTGCAGTTGCTCTGTTTATCTAATATCATACCTAACTCATATAAAGTACAATACCAACACACCAGCTAAAAGATAGCAAAAATGCTTTAGAAATGTTTATCACAACATGGCTTCCTGTTGATGATATAAAGCTGAGGTACATTATCACATAGCTCTAATGTATCATGTATCTCCACCCTGCCTCTTAATATTACTTGAATTATTGCTGCTGTAAATCTGCCATTTCACCTGCCCCAGTTTTACCACCAGTCTAATCAGCAATTGTTGTATCCACCGGGGTCTTGTGTCTCCCATTCTCCAGCCCATATATACGCCTCTCTTCCCTTCAGTTAATTGCTGGTTCATTAGCTAACATATCACAGACACTGCACAACACCTGGCTCTATTTTTTTTCTCCTCCTGTTTCCCGGACTCCATGTTGCCAGTGTACTCCAGACTCTCTGCACTGCACCTAGCTCCACGGAGTCTATTTAGCTCCCCTGTTCCTCGTACCCTTCTTCTCCACCTGTCTTCATCTCTTTGCCCTACTATACTACACCTGCCAGTTCCCGTTCCTCTCTGCCAGCCCTGCAAATTCTCTGGACACCTCTCCCTGCCTTCGCCTTTAAGGTTTGCTTTTTGTTTTCCCTTTGTTATAGATTGTGAGGCCAGCCTGAGGCTCCGGTGTTTTTCAACCAAAAACTGTGAACACAGATCCCACACACTAAACCAAATTAACAACCGATATCAAATAAATACATACACACACACACACACACACTGAGAAGATGTTTTCTGAGGAACAAACTATGAATGTATCCAGTGTCTCAGTTTTGAACCAAAACCAGGAGAGCACTTAGTCTTCCACCTGCACCCCACTAATGCCAACCAAACAAGATTAAAGAGACACAAGGAAAAAGAGCAGAGAGAAGTATGGTATCTCTCAGGCTCGGATTACCAGCAGCCCCTGGGAGCTGTGATGCACTGTGGCCCTCTAGTGGCCTCAAGTTGTGACTTGCGCTCCTTGCATAGTTGTTTCTATCATGACATGCCAACACTAACCCATCATATAGATGCAGTTTATAAAGATTACAGCACTCTCCCCTGCTTTTCTTGTTTTACATAAACCAAGTGTTTGAAATTCCTTATCTGAACATGTGACAAGAGTTGTAGCGCCCCACCAGACAGGCTGCGAGGACGGGCCTCTGCAAGGTCTGAGATGGCTCCAGTGGTCACAGTCTTCTTCAGCTGGGAGCCAGAGGCAGCGGCTCCCAGTGCAGGCTTTGTCAAGGCATCATCACTGCTGGCTCTTTTCAGCTAGAAACACATCCACTGTTAATATAAACATTATGGGTCTAGTAATGTTAGAATGATGTCCTGAAGTGATTTAATTTAAATTAACATCACACATGTAAATTTATTACCATGTTATTAGTGGGAGACTGCAGTGTGCTTAACTCACCCTGCTGAGGCGCTGAACTGAGGCAAGCATACTGGAGGATCTGGAGGTCTTCATGGCAGTAGAGGTGGTGGAGGTCGCCAAGGAGGAATGCCTGGTCCGCTCCTGGAGTCCTGGCTTGGGCAGCCCCACCTTGGTGGTGCCCACTTTCATCATGGCTATAAGTCAGCTACAGTAAGAGAAGCAAGGAAAGCATAGAAAAATACATTTTTGAATTGTAACTCTCAAGAAAAAGAACAACAGTCATGTGCCTATGTATTCACTATATTACAACAGAATAGCTTCAGTGAAGTTGGTAGCCAGAGTTTTCCAACAGTCAGTACTAGTACTGTCTTACTGAAGGTTGCTTGCATTTACCACAATGGCCTATGGTCTATCCCCCAAAGGCACCAGTAGATATTGCTGTAATACAAACATGTGATTTTCGATTAACTAGAAACATGCTTTGAGGGACTGAAGTAACCTAATTTTCTGCCTCTAACAGGTGCAGGGAAACCCTCAAGTAGTAATACTATATGAAATTGATTTATGTTTTCCCAGAAAAACTATCTTTATAGATTCACTATGTTGATAACTTTACACCAGGAAATTTCTCCAAAATAAGAGCCCCATACAGGAAGCAGGAGCCAATCATGTTACACAGCTGAGTAAAGCATGTGAAAATTACAAAGCTCCTTAATGCAACAAAATCAGCCAGTAACCGAGACTGTGTGAGCAGTTTATTAAACGGATGTTGAACAAAGAAAACACAAAATTGCAGAAATGTGACACATTCACCACTTTGCCCATGGTCCACTCTAAACCAACAGGCTAAGTCCTTGTAACTTACTTCTAAACCAGTGAGTGTGTTCTGCACACTGTGCTTGTAATGTTAATGGCTGAGATGTGAAAACACTGACTAGAACATGATTTTAGTACTACCTCCTGAGGGGTGCTAAAATTTAGCTCCCAGAAAAAACAGATGGAGGGCAGTGGAAACAAACACAGAACCTGGTATGGGCGTACATGGCTCCACACATTTCACTAGGTTCCTATGGTGGAAAAACCCTATATGACACTGTGTGCCTAGCACAGGTTCAGCCAGCTTTTCAACCTGCTCTGATCTTTGTATAGGCTAAATGAGGAAGTGAGGCAAAATTGAGGATGTCCCCTTTCAGGTTCTATTATTTTCATTTTTGAAAAAGAAGGGAACTAAGCATTAACCAAACATTTTGTAGAACTGCCTAACTCACTTTTTCAACTTCGTTGGACCGCTGCAAGGACTCACTTCAGTAAAGTTTATCAATAACTCATGGTGTGGAGATGTACAGACTGTTTATAAGCACTGTTCGCCAGACGTAGAGTTTTTATTACTGAAATGCCGGCCCTATTATCTAGGAAGAGAGCATAGTGCTGTGTTTCTGGCTGCCATGTATTTTAGCCCAAGAGTTAATCCCTCTGCAGCTCTCAGCAAACTCTATGATGCCATCAACGCGCTAGAGACAGCTCACCCAGATGCTGTGTTTATCGCTGCAGGCGACTTTAACCAGTGTAGTCTATGGACTGTACTTCCCAAATATTACCAACATGTGAGCATTTCCACTCAGGACAAGAACACTTTGGATCATGTTTACAGTAACATACGTGGTACATACAGGGCTGCACCTCACCCCCACCTTGGACACTTGGACCACATTTCTTTGTTCCTGTATCCAGCTTACAGAGACTGTTTTGCCCAGAGAGACTGCGATGTGTTTAAGGTTGCAACCACCTCAGAGGACTTTTCTGTCAGTGTACAGGATTGTATGTGACCGGGTACATTAGTACAACATTGTGCCCACCATACAAGTCAGGAGGTTCCCCAACCAGAAGCCCTGGATAAACAGTCAGGTACACCACATGCTGTGTGCTTGCTCTCATGCATTCAGATCAGGCAATGAGGTGGAGTACAAAGCTGCAAAGTACAGACTGAGGAAAGCCATCACAGCAGCCTTTAGGCAGTACAGAGGGAAGCTGAATGGCTTCTATTCTACTGCTGACTCTGGACGGATGTGGCAAGGCCTGCAGCACATCACAGACTACAGGACCACCACCAGCATCATCAGCTCCACAGACAGCCTGCCAGATGACCTCAACACCTTCTACACCCGCTTTGAGACCTCCAGCTACAGCACAGAGAGGAAGCATGAACACACCTGGACCACCCAACCCCCCACCTCCCTTCCACTAACTGTCTCACCGGGGCAGGTACACACAGTCATGAGGAAGATTGACCCCCGCAAAGCAGCAGGAGCAGACAACAGGGAGGTTAAGTCCTTGTAACTTACTTCTAAACCAGTGGGAGGGCTCTCAGGGCATGTGCCAGCGAGCTGGCTGATGTTCTCACCACCATCTTCAATCTCTCCCTCAGCCAGAGCATCGTTCCCACCTGCTTTAAGACCACAACCATCATCCCCCTTCCCAAGAAGAGCCCGGTCACCTGCCTGAACGACTACAGGCCAGTGGCACTCACCCCAATCATTATGAAGTGTTTTGAGAGAGTCTTGCTGGCCCATATTCAGAGCAGTATACCGGACACCCTGGACCCCCTGCAGTATGCCTACCGGCCCATCAGGGCCACCTCAGATGCCATCACGGCTGCCCTACACTATTCCCTTTCTCACCTGGAAAATGGAGACTCCTACATCAGGATACTCTTCATTGACTACAGCTCCGCCTTCAACACAGTTGTCCCCCACAAACTCACCCACAAACTGCCCACACTGGGTCTGCACCCCACCCTCTGTGACTGGCTCCTGGACTTTCTGACTGGCAGGCCCCAGACTGTCAGGATTGGCAATAGGACTTCAGCCAGCATTGTTACAAACACTGGCACTCCACAGGGATGTGTCCTCAGTCCTATCCTCTACAACCTGTTCACCCACGACTGTGTCATCTCCCACAAAGACAACATCATCCTGAAGTTC